GGTTACGAAGCATTTACGCGGTTAAATGAATTACCCTCTTATGTTAATATTAAGTTCGCGCAATATGTACATATGTAATGTAATTACATATATATTCGCTAAAGGAATGCGTGCCAAATCATTATTCCCCATTTTCTCATATTATCACATTTTTCTCCTTTAGCAAGTAGTTTGGTGCATCCTACTAACTTGTTGCTATCTTGTCTTAAAAACAAAAAGCAATATGGCACACATGGTACTCACAATTATACGTCTAATCCGCACAATACACTATTTAACACCCAAACGATTTGCCATAGCGTATACGCAACATGCAGCCGGGATTGTCAGCAAGATTTTCGCGAGATATTTGAAAATATCTATTAATAACCGAACCGACGCGGAACAGTAAGAACGAACGCGATATTACCGTTTATAATTTTTTTTTTAATATTTTCAATCAAGCTTTCTTTTTAATTTTTTTTCTCAAAGATTTTAATGCATTCGCAGTTTCCTCCGTTTTTAAGATAATTCGCACATCAAAGAGCCGTCAACGACTGAAGATTTTCAGTGCAGTTCACGCAATATATATTACAGTATCGCTTGCAAACCTTACAACATAAGATGCTCAGCAGCTGACGGATGATGAGCTTTCAGTGGTGCTCCTACCACAAAAGAGCGTACTCTCAAAAAAGGATACCAAGAGTGCTCTGAACCATGCGCAATTAAGCTCACGAGGTGACTCTTAGTTTTATTAAAGAGTCAGGATGGCAGCAAAGAAAGAGCATAAACAAACGGCAATTAGGACCTGAAAGTTAGGGAAGCTTTGCTGCAGATGTCGCTAAATTATGGATGTACGGATAAATACAAATTATTTTCAAAGTTTTATTTATTCTTTTATGAGTATGTACAAATATTCACAACATAATTTTTAACTACGAAACAAGATAAAAAACAGTATTTACAAAATATAAATCTAAACAAAATTAACATCAAAATATTGTACTTCAAAATCTACAAATATCTGAGTCAAAACTCTTACTAACAATACAGTTAGTGGCCGATGTGTCCCACACTATAACTATAACCTCCATGTCCAAGCGGAAAGACATTTGCCGCTGCTGGCACGCTATTTCCCGTGAATGTGTGCAGTCCATTTCGCAGACCATGCAGTTGATATATTTTTGCACTTCGTCCCAAGTTATAGGCTACGCTAGGAGATGGCACTGATCGCTCCTCGACAATCTCGTAAGCTGTGTCATTCAAAGCATTCAGACGTTGGCCGTTCGTATACAAATCACCACGTATAGGATCAGATGGTGTGAATAGAGTCTGTGCCGGTACCGCACTTCTACTCGGATATTTGAATCGCATCAGCCGGAAGTTTATTTCTTGCCTATTGACGGTTTCTAATGTGAATCGGTTGAACTTCGACGACATGGCGTACACCACACCAGCATCCCATGGAGAGTCGCCTATATCGGCAACGAATTGCAATGCGTCAACATCGTAGGCGAGTACAGCCTGTTTATTTGTTTGCGGATGCCAGGAGACAATTGCGGTTTCAGTAACGGGACTAAATAAGAGGCTGCCATCTTGTGGTGATAAGTAAAGTGGTAATCCCTGAGATGACTTTTTGCCCAGAAATTGAATTGGTAATACGTCGTGCAGGCGACGTGGTCCAGCACGTAATGCTTCTTTGGTTATCGAAAAGATGCTGAAAAAATTCAAATTAGAAAAAAGAAAGTATTCAAAGTAGGAGATAACTCAATACGATTATCAATCGAGTTACCTAAAACATGATTACTCAAAAAAAGACATATATATATGATGTAATGTGGAACGATTTTCCGTCATCCCTTGTCAAATTTGGTTTGGAGACTCCAACCCAAATTTGACAAGGGATGACGGAAAATCGTTCCACATTACATCACACTCCTACCCTGTCGGAAACACCAACAACAAAAATGAGATCATATATATATAATATTTTTTTCGTTAAAAGGGTTTGCTATGGAAAAGGCTTAACTTCTTTTTCACAATGTATTCAAGGCGAATTCATATAAGGTGATGTTACCAGAGCTTATAATTTGTAGACGACTTGGTACTGAGAGTCAAAATGATACCGTCACTAGAAACGAAAAAAGGCGCGAGCTCAAAAGTTCACCGCGAAAAAAGACGCATAAAAAAACTTCAAAAACTTCAGCGAAGAAAGACCGTTAAACTTAGTTGACGGCGAAGAAAGACGCGTTAACTTATTTTCGCAGTCAACTATGTTTGCGGGTGTAATAGTATGTATACTCCACAAATAGTTTTTGGGGAATAATGCTGAAGTGAAAGTCCTTGGCTAGATATAAATCTATATTTACGCGCCTTATTTCGTCTAAGGTTTTTTACATATATTTTTTCGTCAATGCGTCCTTCTTCGCCGCCAAAACAATGGCGCGCCTTTATTCGTGTCTAGTGACAATACGTAGTGAAAAATTTGTTCGTAATCTTACCGTTATTATGCATATAGTTTCTTAGCGTTGTTTTTGTTTTTGTGCTGCTGCTATCACCCTATGTGAATTCGCGTTGAATGTGTATTCGGAATTATTTCGGGACTTATCTGCAGTTAATCCAGTTTGAGTTCTAGAGTTAATTCTCAAACTGTATGCCTTTTGGAGCAGGTTTTAAGTTCATTCTTACCGATCGGTAGCTAATGGTTGGAAATAAAGTATTCCGTTGACTGCATCAAAAGCTAAGCCAATAACACCATCCATAATGAAAAAGCGATCATTTAGTACTTGTACCAAACCCAAGTCTGGATCAGGCCACATAGCAGGATGTTGAAGACGCCAGACCATATCACGTGCACCATCGTAAACGATAATTGCTAATTATAAAAGAAATAATATGAAATCAGAAAAATTCGTATCTAACAACATAGCATTTGGTTAACTTATTGCAAAAACTATTTCAAAGATCGAGAATTTCCCACCAGGATGCAGTCTCTTACTTTCTCGTAAAAAATACGTTATCGCCCTTCTTGTCAGTTGTGAATATTTTGAATGCCCTGTTGAGTATTTCACTCGACCATTTTAGGCTTTTTCTACTCGAAAATAGTTGACAGCAAATAGTGCTGGTCATGCTGTTCAGTTCTCTCTCTGTCTCTCTCAAATTTTTCAATGTGCTGTGAAAACAACAACAATTGGTGACCAGTGATCATATGATCGTCTGCGTAACAGCGCCATACGTGGTGCCTTTGATTGCCTTCCTCGGAATCATCGCTGAACCTTACTATGCGATAACTATCCGTCTAAACGACTTTAAACTATTTGTTGGCACTTTTTCGGTAATTAAGTCTATAAAAGATGCCGGTAAAAAATTGCCAGATATGAAGGTTGTGATTTGGATGATTTACCGAACTTTGCCACATTCAAAATTCAATGGAACATATTCATAGTGAAAACAAAGTCGACTCTAAAGTTAGTTGTTGCTTTTTGACATACTTTTAAATGGACTATCTGTAACAAAGAAGATAGAACTAACTTAAAATTCGACTTTATTTTGACTATGAATATACCTTAATCTCTTTGGTTCAGTAATTTTATTTTATTATAAGAAAATGAATCCTAGAAAATTATACTTTTTGATAATATCCATTGGGGTAGCGACTATGTATTGATTATTTAAAAAAAATCAGCTGTATTTCTTTTAACAACAAAAATAGTTTCGATACGATTAGTGAAGCAAAGGTACTGAATTTTTAATGTGCGAATATATGTGTAGGAATTCTTACCAGACATGCTGCTTACAATACTTAAATTCCTTATATTTAAAGGTTTTAACCATTTAATGGCGATAAAAGTTAATTTAAAGTATTTAGTTCAAAAGTAAAATTAATGCGAAACACTTCACTCTCTTCGTACTGTTCAGCTGTCCAACTTGTAGTGTCTGTTCGGCTATTATTGGAAAAAAGTCCATGCACGTCGTTTGTCGTGTTTCGTTAAGTTGTCGTTCAGTCGCTTAGATTAAGGGGAGTATATATTATTCGTCAGTAGTATGTCAATCTACATCCAGGACTACATATATGAAAAAAAAAATTTTCAACTATATCCTGATATAGGCAAAGTTTAATCTCAATCTACATAAATTACGAAGTCAAAAAAGTGTGTACGATTTGTAACATAATGCCCCATATGAATCTAAGTTCATAATTGTGAGGGCGGTGAATATTTCAAAGAGATTGGCTTAAAATTAATAAATTCCAAACTGTATTTAATATGTTAATAAATCTTGGAATCAAAATAGTATATCCTTTACACGAAAAGAAAATGCCGTCTGGAACAGTGGACTTAAATATGTTGAAAGAAACGAAATCCTTTCCTTGTCATGGCTCCAAAAAGCTCGTTACCTATTTTATATGCAAATGAAATTAACTGCCAATTCAGTGCAGCCAAGACAGTTAGCCAACATCAGTGTATCCAGTATTATCTTGCTTTGCGGGATGTATTTACGAATTTCATTTCTTATCATTAATGTCTCGTGGATGACCTAACGAGAACATTTCGTTGTTTTTCATTTTTACCAGTCAAGCTCTTGTGTTAATCACCTAATTGGTTTATCGATAAACAAAGGTTGTTTAAAAAGTAGTCGCTTTCAATCAGATAAAATGAAATCAGTCACATGGTCGTGAAGAAAAATTGGGGCTATTAGAAAAAGGGGCGTGGCACCTCCCATACAAAATAAATGTTTCATACTATATATCCCGGAAAATGTAGAATGGTAGACTACTCGAACAATGTATGGAGATATATGAAAGCAATCGCATAACCATGTGGAAAAATTGGAGCTATTGGAAAAAGGCGCGGCACCTCCTATAAAAACCGAATTTCCCATACAGCATATCTCTGGAAGTTTTCATGGTAGAGTACTGAAAATTGGTATGGAGATATATGAATTGAATCACATGGTCGTGAAGACAAACTGAATGTTTCATACTGCATATCCCGGAAAATATTCGTGGTAGAGTAGTCGATGGATAAATAAGAAATAATGAGTGGTCAGATGAAAATGCGCAAAGATTTTTCGTATGAAATATGAGCAGAAAAGCATGTTACTTAGGTGTACGTGGCGTATGAGTAACTTTCTTTTCTGCTCATTTTTCATACAAAATATCTTTGTGTATTTTCAGTTGACCACCCATTACTTCTTTATTTATCCCTCACTTTTCTTCATTAGTAACTTGATTTTCCTGTTTTTTTTGTAACAGTGGTTGTGATTTAGCACAAATGCAAAAAATTGGCCAGTACCTGTTGTTTTTTAAATTTTTCTTCTGTTAAAGTTGATTTGTTTTTTAATTTATCATTAAGAAAAACTGGAATGAATAATTAATTTCACTGAAACTATCAGTCCTGTCTGAAAGTGATGTACATATATATGGTTTATGGGGAATTTCATTAGCTTTTGATTTGATTTTATAATTGTTTAATTGGTTCATAAGATATACGTGGTTAAGTGGTACCACTTTTTGTTTTAAGCTGAATAACGGTAAATTGCAAATATCTCGAAAATGTATCCATAGAAAAAGATAAACTCGATTTACGGAATCACCGAGCAATTCTACAAAGAAATTGGATAGTAGCGTCTGGAGAACAAAAACCAAGCTAAAATTTGTGATCCAGTATTATTAGCATTTCACCATAGCAAGCAAAATGCTTAGAAAATATTCGAAAAAAATAGTATTTGATTGTGTCAAACTTCATGTTGCTACGTGTTATAGAGTTCATTGAGTGACTCATAAATCCTTCCAAGGATTTCCAGAAATACTCCCGGTTCTTCCGCGGCAACTTCTTCTCTGGCTCATTTTGCCAATTTCCCAAAACGAGCTATTTGTGAATGAATTTTTCTTTCCAGATTTTAGGCTTTTCCATCATAGGTTTTAACTTGCCGCTTAAGCTCAATTTTTAAATAAGTTTTGTTTCTTCAATTTTCTAGCAAATAATTGCTAGAAAGAGATTGCGAAAATTTTATGATTCATCTTTTCGCTTTTGCATTATTATATTTTTCGTGAATTCGTGAGCGTTTCAACCTGAGAGAGCTGGAAATTTTTGCAAGTAAAATTTTACTACAGAAATTTACAGGTGTTAAAAAAAAGTTATGTTTCAAATTCAAATATGAACGAAGGAAGATTTGAATAATACATGCTCGAAACAAAATTAGGGAAATGAAAATATGAATAAATAATTTAAATCTATTGTTGATGTTTATAACGATGGAAAATATTTCCAACCAAAAAAAAATTTTGCGCAAAATTTTAACTAGCAGAAAGGCCTAAAAATTGCGTTAATTGCAAGTTTTTACTAATTTTCCGTTCAAAACCCTTTCCTGATAATTTTCTCTTCCTCTCAATTTTATTCTGTTTTTTCTTTTACGCTCTCGCTGCGATCATCTACTTACTGGAAAAGTTATTGAATGTACCTCCTATCTTTTATTAACAAAATATGTTATGTAAAGTTCGGTATAGGGATGGGTAGTGGGGCATTGAAATTCGATTTTTTCCGAATTTCGAACATTGCCCAACCATTCGATTTTTCGATTCGAAATTCGGTGGAGCAAATTCGATTTAATTCGATTTTTTTCGAATTTCGCAAAATTTTTTTGAAGTGAAACTTCTTAATCGAGTTCGGAGATGTTAGCGTTAAATATTTAACACCAAGTCATAAAATCTGTATTTAAAAAAATTAGGAGTCGAATTAAAGGCTTGTCCTTTGGGTCTGCAACATAGTTTTAGTTCTATGAAAAGGGTTGCCACAGGTTAGAAAATCAAATTCAAATAATCGCTTCCGCAGATGTTTGCGTTAAATATTTAACTCCAAGTCATAAAATCTGTATCGTTCGTTCGATTTTCAAAAAGGGGGTAGGTGTCAAATGAAATGTAGATGTGTAACATGGTTTTAGTTTTATGCCATATGTAAGAAAATCAAAATCAAATTACATATTTAATAAGTTAAATAAATTACTCCAACATGGGTATCAATCGAAATGGTTTTGAATAAACTTTTTTTAAATTACATTTGGGAGGGTTGCCATCTGTTTGAAAAGTCGAATTTATATAAAGAAGTGTTGTACTTAAAATACTATGCAACAATTAAAATCTTTTTGAGGAGCTTGAAGGGAGTGGCCACCTGTTTAAATAGTTAATCTTTAATTAGTTAATAAAATTACACTGTGCGACAGCCGAACCCGCCCGTACTCTGTTAACATTTTCTGAATGTCTATCCATCCAGTAGTAAAACGCTCGTTCCCACGACAGTCGGGTCTACGTAACCGGAACGACCCAGATTTATATCTGGCCAAGGACTGTCACTCCAGCAACACTCCCCAAAAAGTCTTTGGGGAATTTGTATGCTGCTACAACAACAACAACATGGATATGTAAAAGTTAGCTCGTATTTTAATTTTATGGCCTACTAAAGTTTTCATATCTCGGCCTAAGTAGTTTTCAAAAAGATCGAAAAAATAGTTAAATAAATGTCTGAGCGAAATTAAAGGTTAAGACATATATATTAAAATTTCTTTGGAAATATTTTCGTAGAACATTTTAACCCATTATCTCCCGCCTAAAACGGTCATATTTGACCCTTACTTCAAGAAATCTCGCAAAAAGCAAATTTTGCAGATCGTTTATGGATTGATATATTCTAAAAAATTATTCTCCGGAAAATTTTACTAGGGGTCTTCTCAGGCAAAAGCTTCATGTTACTAACGTAAAAGCCTCTAAAAATTTAAAATAAAAAATCAACAAAGAAACTAGTTTTTTTATAAAAAAAATTTTTAAATTGAATTTGGAATAACATTTCCTTCTTGGCACAGACTTTTTGTTCTTATACATCAGATCAAAAAACATGTATTTTTTCCTTGAATCCCTAAGACAAATGGAGTGCCACACACAGTGATGGCAAATTTAGTCAGAAAGAAAAAATTTGAAGAGTTGATTTTTTGGAAATAAAGATGAAATTCGATTTCTTCTGGAAAAATTCGATTTTATCCGAATTTTAGCAACACAAAGTTCGATTTCAAAAATTCGCCATTTTGGAGCTAAAATTCGATTAAAATTCGAATATCGAAGCTTCGAATATCGAATTTACCTATCCCTAGTTCGGTACGGTTTCGGTTCGGCTTCAGCCAAAAATAAAACCGAACTTTGGCCGATCATTTGTAATTATTTTTTTTATTTAAAAATTGTACAAAGTTTTAGTTTAAATGTGTAACTCAGCGTTCATTTTCATTTTGAAAATTGCAGAATCAAATCAAAAATGAACTTCTTTATTCTCGCAAAAATATATGAATATTATTGGTGACAGTAAAAAGAAGATTTTAAATTCATATTAAACATTCAATAAATAACGAATTAGACGCTTTTATTTATGAACATCTGCTGCCAATATTTTTAAATACATACTGGTATCAAAGCCCACATTTTCTGTTGAAAAAAAAATGTTTTAAATATTTTTCTGCTCCTCCATCAGTCAGCTTTATACCGATAGACGAAATCGTTTGCAAGGTGATAATGCCGATAGGCCATTATTTTTACATTATAACAAATTATTTAATTTCGAGTATAAAAATATAAGTTTTTTGTTGTTAACTTTACAAGCATAATTATTTTTACATTATAAACTGAAATGGCGTTTTATTTAAACCAATGTACCTATTTTATTAAACTTGACTTTAAAAAATTCATTGATTATTTATTATTTAGACCTTGAAAATAAAATGTTTTTGGGAATATATTTATTTATTTATTTTTTTTTAATCTTACCCGGCTTCACTGTATCTGCGATATAAACGAAAACATCGTCACATGTTCCTGATGTAGAACTTGTTTCATCAATTACTAGATTTGCTAAAACTGATTGATTGCGCAAAACATCTTTCTGTAATAAGAAATTTAAAAAAGTAATATGTTTAATAAGTAAACAATTAAGTTTTACGGCTTCAGCTTTCAAATAACTCACCGGAATGTCAATGCGCCTCACCACTTGATCGGTATTCAAATCGAATACCAATATCTTCGGTTGGCACGTTTGTTCGGAGTCTTCAAATGTGCGCGAGACTGCAGCATCCAAGGCCCACAAACGATTGCAAGAGTCGATACGCATGCGATACACCGAAACTAAATATGGATCGCTGCAATTGAAACTGTTTAGGCCGCTAACAGAATACGACCAGTCGGGATAGGCCTGTATGTAATGTAAATGTAAAAACCCGTTGAAATGGAATAAAACAAAATCCACATAAATATGTATATTATTTTGTTATTATTGCTTGCAATTTATGCCACTGAAATAATGTCAATCGATTTTTACTTGCAAATGTGGTGACTCGCTGTTGTCCGATTTTGAGATGTAGCTAAGCGTTGTGGGCACGCCTGAGAAGAGCTTGGGTGTGGCAATGAATATGCGGTCATATGCGACTATCATGCTTGTCGGCACCACATTCAGCTGATTGAAGTAGTTGGGATCGGAGACTGGCGCATGTGGTGGAAATGCAAAAGAAAATAGTTTCCATTGCTTGACAATCTCTAAATTCGATCGTACAGTCAGCGAGTTCGCCGGCATAACGGTGCTTAACAACAGATGACAGGCCGCCATCAGCAGATAAGTTGTAATGTCAGAGCTGGAGCGGCGCATATTGACACTCTAGCTGGGTGATGGATGCTCCGAGATACTGCAAAATTCCCGTTGCTTATCGTTTTTAGGCGTCTGGTGCGTTTTGCTGATTGATTTATGACAGCCGAATTCTTTAATTGTGTAAGTATGTTAAGCTGTAAATATTAATGAAATAGTTTTTGTTGTTGAGTTGCAACGTAAGCTGGCAGGTTAAGTATACTTATATGCAACAATTACACTGTGCTCGCATTTACAACTTTTTTTAAGTAAGTGTTTTGATAGTTGATCGTACTGAAATTGGATTGGAGGGAGGGGCATTGCTGTTCGCCAATCCGCACAATTGGTTATATATCTCGGGGTTTTAATGTAAAAGTAAATCTTGCACAAACGTTTTGCTATTTTGGAGGATCCTTACAAGTCCTTGCCACATTAGAATCCAAGCGGTCTAATCTGTATTGCGATTAGGGATCAAACGATACCAACGACTTCAAGTACATATTCGATATTTTTGTTGCGATATCAAGTATTCTTAACTTGATGCTTTTCAATTCGATACCAAGTAAGTTTCTATACATTGAGAACACTCTTGAAAAACTTCTTGTTTTTAAATGCGACGTTGGTAAAAGTGGATTCTACCTTCAATTTGGAACGTAAATATTTCAAAGTGATTTTATCGAAAGAAATAGCTAATGCTACATATACCTTGTTTATGTATATCGATACATAGAGCGCTTTGTGGCGGTTCGCTGTGATTCAAAACGGCCCGTTTTTAATTGGAGTTGTTGTTATAATACATTTGTATTACTGTTCTGTTCCATTTCGGTCCAACGCTCAAATTCTTAATTAACAAATGTCAAATAAAACCAACAGATTGTTTACCTTTGAACACGGTTTAATTGAGTGCGTTATAAAGACTGAGGAATAAACGTTTATAAGAAATACGTGTTGAATTGAATCGGTCTTTTTTTTTTAATACGGTTCTTGCGTAAATATAAACAAGGTAATAGTCAGCTTGATGAACAGTGTAACCTTTTGAAAAATGGTTAGAAAAAGTTATACCCTGTCAAAAATTAAGTTAAAAAGAAGTCAAAACATTCGTTCGTTAAAAAGTCTTCGCCAACTCGATAAGTTCCGCGAAACCGATTTTCTTTCAATAATTTTTTTTTTAATTCCCATCAAAATTCAAAATAACATCTTTCAACTTAATAACGGCTATGTATATTATTTCGAGGTTTCCAAATGGAGTTCAATTTAGGAAACGAAAAATTAAAAAAAAAAAAAATCGAATAGAAATTTGATTGTTTCCTACATCAGAGTATACTAGTAATACGCCAATAAATCAATTGTTTCAAAACTACAGTGTAAGGAAAACTTCGTAGTACTATTTTCTTAAAACCTAGGAAAGACCTAAGTAAGTATGTTCTGAAGGAAATGCTACTTTTCTTTGTTATTGTAATATTTGAACAGTAAAAAGTAAATTTTTAAGTATTAATTATTTTTAATATGGTAACCACGTTACGATCCTAATTTCGCTCTGAATATTTTAAGTACGAAAGGCCGAAAACAAAAGCCACGAAGTCAAACCGAAAATTCTTAGGCTATGGCTTAAAATTAAATGCTAATTCTAGCCCCAAAAAGTAACCTGGTCACACTGCTGATGAACTAATAATCTATTTATCTGCACCTTTATCATCTATAAAAAAGAAACCCCTTGAAAGGGTGTGTGGTTATAAGCAAGCTCGATTAGTTTTAAGAATTATTGCGTCATAAGCTCCTAGTGAAAAATATTTCTCTTGTACTAAATTATTATAATTTTTTTTTTAATTTGTAACGATGGGAAATACACCCAAGTAAATAAAGCAGGATGAGAGAATAACAGAAACTGTCAAAACAACAAATTTTCTTAACATCAAACTTTTCGATAACAAAAGTAATTTTATTTTGTTAAACTGTCAAAATGTATGATATATAATAAGAATAAATAAAGAAAAAATTAAATATTTGTGAATTGTCAAAATCGGCAAAATCTTCTCTACGTCGTGTAAAACACCCATTTTTAATTTAGTACAAAAAGATTTATATAATTGGTACAAATATTCGATAATGAGTAAGTATCGATGGTTCCTAGCCGATATTTACTCGAGTACCGATAACTTCTGGCGACACTTGAAGCGAGTAAATGTATCGATACTTTATCGGTATCGTTTGAACCCTACTGGCGATTCGAAAATCAATGCAATTCGGAAGGCGACGCGGACGAATACAGGTAATTTTTAAGCAAAAAACAAAACCCATATAAAAATTTAGGAGTACCGTTAATTTTTTCATGATCCAATAATCGGATTTAAACGAGATTATTATGGGAGCACCAAAGTTATGCGGTAACATACACAAAAAAAAGAATATTCCGTCGAATTGATAACCTCCTCCTTTTTTTGAAGTTGGTTAACAAATTCATTGTGACAGTATTCAAATACGAATGATTTGCTTTTCGATTCGCAATACAGAGTAGACCCCAGAATTCGGATGGCTGATGGGCCGAGCATTCCCATCTTTCTAATTTGTGTCTTCCTAGCTTAATCCAAGCCACAAACTGAATGTCATTGGAATCGGATACAATTTAGCATATCCTCCCCCCTAGTATAGTAAGCGTGGCAGTCCGTAAAATTACAGCGTTTTTCATATTTATTTATTCCTAGGCAAAAACACTACGTGTATCCACGACACACATTTGTAATTCGTTTGGCAGCTCTACTTCATGTTCTTGTTCTTCGCTATTTGTTATTTTTTTGTGTACTTAAAATATCGAAGATAGAGCAAAAATTTAATTTATCAAAGATTTTAATTTATATAGGAAATATTTTATTAATTAATTTTCCAGCAACTAGAAAAAGTGCCCGCAAATGCGATCAGGCCGGTGAAAACTTCGCTCTGAAAATTTTGTATTGCGAATTACGTTATTCGAAGGGTAATTGGATAGCGAATGACAAATAAGAGAACGAATTACGAATGAGAGAACGAATTACGAAGCGCGGAAACGTCGTATTATATGGAGCTCTTTCACTGCGCGGTCCCGAAAATTCACGTCACCATACATATGTACATTTGGATATTAGAAAGCGTATACTTCTTACAATATGGGTATCAAACCAAATTATTTTAAAAAGGTGTAATTTCTTAGCTACATTTAGAAGGGTTGCCATCTGTTTAAAAAGTCAATTCAACTTGAATTAAGGTAAGTCGATAATTGAGATATATACATACGTATAATAATACGTGTGTCAGAGAAGATAGTAACTTCAAAATATTTTGAATAGGGTTAAACAAATAAAAAACCGAAAGTCGCCTATGTTTTTGGCTGAGCTTAAGCATGTTGATTTTTTTTATAAATTACGTCTAATGTAGCACGCAAAAATTTCATGCACTCAGCAAAGCGTATCTGGGCAATCTAGTATATACCGCATGTTTAGTAATATACAGAAGTATTTAAAAATTTACAATTTCGGAGATTTCATAATACAATTAATGATTTTCATAAGGAGAATAGGTTTAGTCTAAACCTAAACTTGCCAAAAATGGCGATGATATGTGTCTTTCCATCTGTCTTTTTGTATACTTACTGTATGAATCCATCCATCCAATCCATCCATTTTCATTTCGCTTTTCCACAAAATAGAAATTTCGAAGTAATTATTCATAATATGAGACTTGCGATATGTACATACATACATATGTATGTAGGTACTTATATAAAATTGATAATCAAATATATATTTATGTATGTATATATTTGTTTACTTTTGTATGTCTTTTCCATTAAAATTAAAGCAACGAGGCTATAAATTTACCATGCACCGCTAAGCGGCGCGGTTCAAACAAATCCAATGCCATATGATCTGATATTTTTAAATTGAGTGCTTCAGTGAAAGTGAAATTAGTTGTAAATATTTCACATTTTTACGTTATTGACGGAAGCATCATATGCTTGCATTTTTATGGTCAATTGCATCAACATCTGTACGTTTGTTTATACAAACATATACATCAAACATCATACATTTGTACATCTTTTTGTACATACATACATACATACATACATATGTACATATATACTACCGGACCACGGCTCGCCTAGTCAGACGCAATTTTCAATTGACCACACTCGCTTACATATTAACCTCTGCGGCACGCTTAATGCAAATACGATCGAATGTGTGCGTTAAGAGAGAATATACAAATATACACACTTTTGCAAACAAACAAAATAATAATAAGCAAATAATCCTAAGTACATTCACCCAAAGTCCAAGTCATCGAAAAATTCATAAAATATGCAGTCCGACCATTTATTGCAACTAAATTGAAAGCGCTTGCCGAAAATGTAAGACAAATAAATAAATATTATCGCCGAAAAAATGTTGAAATTCATACATATATAGATATCTACCAGTTATCTGCACAATTGTGTACCCATAACGAGAGTTGTTCGAAATATGTAAAAATTTTGCTTTATTTTGCAGAGGAAAATTATATAAAATTAAAATAATAAAAATTATGCAGTTTACAAAAATGCGATTTATTTAATAAGTGACTTTAATATGCTAGTGTGTTGCATATGCTCAAATGCATGCATGCACGTTAGGGTGGTAAAAAAAAAAGTAAAGTCGGAGTTTTTGTTCTCTCACCGCCTAGGATTGTTCTATGCCGATATCTATATTTTATATTTTGAAATCAAAAAATATTTAGAAGACACTCAAAGCGCTTAAACTTTTCCAAATATTTTCTAGGAGAATAAACAACTTTTCGTAGAAATCAATTTGTTGGGGATTTTTTTGTTGTCGGCAGACCTATCAAATATAGTTAGTATGAAAACAATGTTAAATACAGAGTTGAGTATTATTGTTGGGAATCTCCCTCAGAGAAACAGAGTTCTCCGATGGAAAAATATTAGTTTAAAAAAAAAATAGTTTTCCGATGTAAAAAACATGGAAGACTGAATTTTTATTCGTTTATTTCTTAGTGCTTGGTTTTAAGAATTCTATACCATTTCTACGAAAAGTAGTTTTTCTCTATATAAAATACATGGAAAACTTTGAGCGCTTCGAGCGACCTCTAAATATTTTTTTTTTCTAATTTAGTGTTT